TGACTGTTATTGCGCGAGATGATCATCTCACAGCTGGAGCTTGGGCCGCCTGTGGACACATCTGTGTTTTCACTCGCATTGATATTTCATTGTTCCGCTTCGAGACACGCGGTTAACAATACTCACGAGCAAGGAGTTAAGATATAACCTATTTTTATCATCCAATCACAGGTCGCAGCCATTCCTGTATTTGGTCGCTAGTCAAAACTAAGGCTCAGTTTCCTATCAACACTTGTTATGGGGACCAACGCAAATCAAATCGAAACCACTCACCACTGGTCACACTACATTCGCACTTTACCTTTTGAAGCTAAATATCTTCATTTATATACTAAATCGTCCTTAAAAAAAGTACCACAATTAATCACTTAATCTCAAAGGAACTATTCGACACTCCTAAGTCTAACTGGCTGAGTGATATTTTCCATTTCTTTAGCTAAAAATTAACATCAGCGTTGTATTGTTTGACAATTTTCTATTTATTGATGTTTCGCAGAAAGCTCACCAACTTGAACCTGAAGAGTAAAACATTTGTACGATATCTTTTCTGCATTCGCCGAATCAAGTTTCTATCGAAATACAATCGTTAATTCGCTTAGAAATTTCTATCAAAGACTTCCGCTATTAATAATCAAACTAAGGTTTGAAAAACATCACAGTACAGGGAAGATATAGAGTACACACTACAGTTCCTATTCGTCCTTAATCTCCATCCTAATTATTTTTTTCTTTAGATGCTCTTTCATAAGCCCACTGTTCGTATCTTATCTCACTGGAGGTTTCCTTGTCCTTCAGCAGTCCATCGTACTTATTCCGTAGAGAACTCGCCGATTCGCCGGAATCACAAGCAGACCTCGCTCTGTCTGCAACACTCTGGCAATTTTTCTCTGCTTTGTAATGCTTCTCGTGTGAATCATCCACCGCATCGTAGCACTTTTGAAAACAAAATGTGGCAAAGGCGAGGCCGAACATAATATGCGGTACTTTCGTTTTGCGGAGAGCCTCGTAGCCTGCCGATATGCCGCTTACGATGAGAAGTAGGACAAATAGGAGAAGCTTCAAGGTTCCATAATATTCTGCACAAAACCTGTGGGCAAGTGAGCGCACTTCCATTTCATTTTTAAATTCACGGATGTCATTCTTTACTTTTTCTTTTGAAAAAATTCCACCCATCACGTTGGCACTCGGCAGCGATAATCCAAATACGAATCGGAGAAACCTTTTAACTCTAATGCAGACGAACCCGGAAACTAAACAAAAATGAAATAGGTGGGGTCACTCTAAGAGACGTGGGTTCTATTTCCCAGGCGTACTCTCATGTTGTGGTCTGGGGGAAGTAGAGCATGTAGGGATATATAAAAAAAACAAAACTTAAACGAATGAACTTTATTTAAGTGTCAGAGTATTTAGCTATATATTAGCTAATTGTGGACACTAAGAGAATATTCCAAATACAAAATTAAAACAGGGATGCCACGGGTGCTAAAGATTCATTTTAAAATTTACTATCATTTTGAAAACAAGGAACGTCCATAATAAAAATCTGAAAAAAAGATTTGCACTATTTATTAATTTAATATCACTTAGTTCCAAGAAAAACTGGTATTTAAAATATTCACAAATTTATAAAATTACAGTGACAAAAAAATTCCACGGGAAATGGGGTTAGTTCATACTTAATTTACAATTGGTCCACTTGTCCTCAATAAAATAAGTCAAGTCTTTCTTTCTGATGTTCCAACTAAAATTGTCCAGCGGGGGTCGCTGTCGATCACTTGAGAATAACTGGACCAAAGTTATGGGCCCAGGTAGCTAATAGAGTGTGTTACATATCAAAATCTGCATTTATTAGTACCCTTTGTTTGCGAAATTGAAAAGTTCACCTATGTAGTCGAGGGCCAAACTATTTCTAACTTTGTACATTAAAATTATAATCTCTCGAAGCCTCCTATTGTATAGAGAAGGAAAGTTTACAC